TGGTTCCATGCAATAACCGCAATCAGTGTTTAGAGATGTTCTGTGATGTGCGAGAGAATCGATCACGGTGGTCCAGATGAATTCACTATTTATATTCCTATAGATCTCCAGTTCCAGTACTTCTTCATATACACATTTTTCTTTTGTCTTTAAAAATATATGCTCGTTGCTTATTTATTTAGTTGAACATATAAATATTGGTACAAAGGGGTACCGAATACATATGCACCACACAAGTCACATGATTTGTGTTTTAACTATGACACTGTCCTCGTTCCCAAACTGAAGTATGTAATATTCTTATGTAGCCAAATCCGGAGCCTTCGACTTAAGGGTCTGATCCATAAGTCAGTGGAGCAACGTCAGAAGATACAGTCCCATGGTACCGATGAGCAACAATTGGTACATATGTCATTTGTTCCCTCAGGATACTGGAGCCCATGTGCACCACTGGTTTAGAATCAAGGTTTTCCAAATCCCCTATGTGAAATCTCCGTATCCACCAACCCGGTTAAAGCGCCGGACATTCGCTTTTCGTCCTCTCAATTTCGTAAACAACACCGCCGCCACGAGGAGGCACTCAATAGGACTTCCATGGCAGTGGCTGTATACGCGTGGCCACGTGAGAGCATTTGGAGCTGATACTCCCCACCTTCAGCTGTACCAGGATATTTGGGGGCTCATTACTTAGTTTCTTTTCAGTATTTTTGCTAGTTAATTACTGACGCCTGTTAATCCAAATGGGGCGTAGGCCGCCGACCAGCATTCTCCAACCCACTCTATCTTCGGCCTTCCTTTCTAGTTCTATCCAATTTTTGATTATTTTTCTCATGTCTGTCTCCCTCTCGACGTAATGTGTTCTTTGTTCTCCCTCTTTTCCGTTGGTCTTGAGGATCCCATGTGAGGCCTTGCCTGAAGCCCCTCTTGGACTACTACCGGTTCCAAGCCCGGATAAAGGAGGAAAGTTAGGCATGGGGTTAGCGACCCAATTACGTAGAAAACTAACTCGCTAAAAAAACGATAACCAGAAAAAAGTTTTTTTGTATGTACACTGATATTCACTTTTTTAAACGTATAAAATGTACTACTCACATATGATTTTACTTTTGATTCAGTATTTTGAAAAGATATCACTCTAGATAAATTTCACCTACTATTACGTCAACAGTTAGATGTTATCTTCTAATTTAATGCATATGGATTACTGACGTTGTTGTGTTTTTATGTATTAGTCGTCTGATCTAACTAGTCCACATTACGTAATAGAAGAATTTCACAATTGTTCCTACGTTGGAACAATCAAGTAATTAAAAAAAAACTACAACACCTACAACGATTTGTTGAACTGACACATTTATTTTAACACATAGATATTGGTACAAGGAGGCACCAAATACATATGCGCCACACAAATCTCATTTGATGTGTGTGAGGGCTGTGATACTGCCCGGATGCCCAAATTGAAGCAGGGCTGACATATTTTCCTTCTTCGATATATAGATTTCTTTATTAATAAAAGAGGGTAATCACTTGTTAGAGTCTATCTGTCAAACATAATTTTCTAGTTTTTAGTAGAACGTTTTCACTAGTCCATATTTATTAGCTTATCGGATAAAAGCTATGAAGATTTAGACATTATCTACTCTAAGTTCCTTCTCTATAGATACATCATTAATTTCATGGGGCATATCTAGTTCAAGAAAATGGACTGGATTATTTGGCTAATATTCAATTGTTTCAAACAATTTCTTAGTACGACTTACATCTTTGAGCGAAATGAACGCATCACCAACATACTTTGCATAGAGTTTAGTCTTTATGATATCAAGAAATTGTTATTATCCTGATGAGAATAATGAATGGTAACTGTTGGGATCCATTTATGGACCAATACTAAACGTATATTGTTTGTCGTGTAATTATTACGTAACTAAACTATTCATATTCGTGTTCCTCTTATTATGAGCTTTATTTCGACCTACAAACTATTATTATACGATTTACCATTCTTGATTTATGTCCTGTCAGTTAATTACAGTCTTCACATTCACAGCCACTTTGGCTAGATCGTGTACGAATGTTGTCTCCTATTTTATGATACGATGTCTGTTTGGTTGGTATACAAACCCAGTATGTTTGAAGTACATGATTCATATCACAGAGGCTGAGATTGGTGTTCTGGACCTAATAGGCAGGACTAGGCGGGAAGCAGGATCACTAAGGGCTCTAGATTGCTCGTACAGGTTTTATGCGTCATTGGTTCGGTCGATAATTCACTGTTCTCTAATTGGCGGTATCATTACGTCATACATTGGTAGGGCAGAAACCTACAAGTTATAACAGCAATAATTTGTTTTTCTCCAGATTTGTGACAAATTTATCTTTAAGAATTGTTCCCAAAAAGGGTTACTCATAAGTATATCATCTGTTTTCCAGAAAAGTTTATTGTTGAACGAATCATTAGACGAATGTTCTATTCCATTTGAGTACTAAGCAGTAATGTATAGATACAATAGGATCCATCATATTAAGGTAGAGAGTGAAGTTAAAATTCAATCTAACCAGTCAAATTTTGATGATTTCAAACAATTATTATTATCACACAGGTTATTGCTGGAGATAACTCCTATAATTTCTGACTCCTTTGTTTGCGTTGTGTAAACGAATAATATCTAGGTCTAAGAGCAATAAAGCAGATAAACTTATTGAGCTATTAAGAAAGACAACACTGTAAAATATGAAGAACTTTATAGCGATAACACACAACCAGTAAACCGAATTTAAAATCCCCATGGAAAGAGTTAACAAGTGAAGAAGAGACACAGAATATTCTAAAACAATGTTGTTGCACACAAACTGTGTATGCACAATAATTGAAATTTCAAAGATAAATTCAGTAATGTCCAACTGAGCAACTACTAATCATCATCGTGTGAACTTGTAAGTTAAAATTATAGTATTTCCAAACTAAATGAATAAACCATTAAGCAGTCGTTTCGAGAAATGATAGCTTTTGATCTCGATCTCATGGATTACTGATGAGGAGTTGTAAATTAGAATGAAATGGCTATTCTGGAGTTTCATATTGTTAAGACATTTTCTGGATCATATTGGTTCATGATTAATAATATCCCCAGACTAAACTATATGCTATGCAGGCAACCAATTATAGACATGACCGTTGCAGTTACTTTGACATGGAGGTCGGGCTTGCCTATCGTGATGGTCCAGTCGAGCTATACTGGCTGGAACAATGCTTCCTCAAGGTCCTACCATGCCAGACAGGTCGGTTGGAGAGCGGTAAGACTAAAAGCAGCAAACCCAAGGTCAGAACGCCAAGTCGTACTGCTAACTGTACAGAGGTGTGACGGTGGTAAGGTGTCGCGTTCAGGAAACCAGCATAACAGCGATGCTGCCTTCCCACAAGGAGTGGTGCTAGGAAAGGTTGACCATTAAAATGCACATCTCGTCTTGTCCCACGGATTTCTGTCTCCAGCGGTAAGGTTCCAATAAGTAAGGAGCTAATACGAAAATTACAAAAAGGTCGTGTGTGACCGACCTCAAGCAGTTGTCCCTTGAGCACTGTGGTCACGCTCTCAGGTCACTAAAACCATCTCTAATCCAGTTTCCTTTTCAGGTACCTCTAGAAGAACTCTTCCACGGTATGGGCAACCGGGAAGTGATAGCTGCCCTCATTCCTCTAACAGCACTCAAGATCAATGTAGACTGAATTAACTTTACATGTCAAAATCCAAATTTAAAATTGTAAGCAAAATGAGTTTAACATTCCCAGATGATGAAATTACTTGTATATACTGATTACTTGGATTAATGTTTAGGTCTAATATAATTGAGTGACTATTAAATGGAGTGAACATCAGGAAATATAAAGTGATAGACAATAAAAATATTACCATATTAAATATCAAGGTGAGATTACGTAATGGGCGAAATAATCTATGCAGAAGGTATCGCTTCACTAGATCTGACTAGAAAGTGAAATCACCCAGAGTGCAAGATGAGAAATCCCCTAGTATTTGAATTGATTCGTCTAAGATACAGTGTTATGAAGTCATCCTATGTACACTGGGTGAACCACCTCAAAATCTTAAATGTAGTGGTTCACTGAACTCTGCAGAAGATCCGAGTTCTTTCACGAATACTGGTTTAAAACTCCCGCATTATTCCAGTGTGGATTTCATTAATAGTGTGTAAAGTGTGGTTAGCATTTATCTGCCATCGTGCATATCCTTCTTCAATTGTGCTTTAAGACCCATGGTTGCTTCCGAGTGCCAGTGAGCGTGATCTTAAAATCGTAACTTATTTTGACTTTTGGGATATTGTAAGAGGGAAGTATTTTGGAATCTCGTACTCTTACTTTCGCATTTGGTGTATGCCGAAACATACTTAATTGTAATGATTAAGTCCCAGATCAGTTTTAAGGCTCTGTACATCTCGACATAAAATTTAAATGTTAGCAGACCTAGCACAGTAACCTGTAGACTTCGGTTACTCATCGATCTTCAAGGAGAAGCTTTGGGATAGGTCCATCACACTGTGCCGACAAGTAAGCTTTTTTTCCTCAACCAGATTCAGTGAAAGTACGTTGCGAGACTATATCAAAGTAAATAACACTTTTTCCTGTTTAGTATTCTAATCCATTGTCTGGTATTGTAGAGGAGGCATCAACATGTTCAGTTGATGGGAAAGATCACCCCAATAACAGAGATTAAACAGATTTTTCTGGATACCTATTCACTTACCAAACTGTGACATCTCATCTGTAACTCGGATATGCTAATGCCGCTAAGCTATGCGTAGATGAATATTCCTTAACCCTAACTAAAGTCCAGACAGTGTTACCATTCATACTTCCCAGCCTTTTCTTTCTCCGTTATGACTGACATTTTCATCCTTCTTATATCATGGAGTTTTGGGAAGACTAACTGACTTTTCGTTGATAGGAAAGTAATCAGTGAATATTTATGGTGCTTCTCACACGGGAAGTGGCTTTTTGGTGACATGTTAACATAAAATCTAGTGGTTCAGATTTTTAGGAAAACTTAGTACTATAACTCGTGTGTACTGAAGTGTCCGGCGTCAGGATTATTCACATCACTCCATCGTAGATTATTTAGCGAATTGACCACGGTTCTGGGGCTGATCTAACCATCTCTTACAATCATGTAAATAAGAATAACAATAGTAGAGCAGATGAGCTTACAAGTCAAGAATGAGAGATCCCTTGATGTATAGGTTCCCCAATTGACTAGCCAACTTTCGGGATATAACATAGAATTGCCCGGGTTTCCGATCAACTTATTCAAGACTAGACATTCTAGAAAAGGACTCACACGTATCTGGTAGTCCAAGGAAAAAAAAACAAGAATATACAACATGCCGTCTCCTTATTTCAAACGTTGAAAAGTCGAGCTCGTGAATATAACTGTACTATTAAAATTACAATACAGTAACACTCAATAATGAACAATAATATATATATGTTTATCAGAATCTTACATCACACAATAAACGAAAGTCAAAGTATGAATGATGTACATTCAATTTATGAATGATACAAAAATAACAATAAAACCAATGTATACAAAGTTTAGGTAAGAATTGGAAGGGGATTAGAACATTATAAATGCAATAAACCTGTACAACTGAGTTATCAAAAACCTAATGTTCTGATCTTCACTCTTCCTCACCCTCATCAGGTTCGCCGTCATCTTCATCTTCTAACTCCGCACCGTTTTCATCACCTCCAGCACTGGTAACTGTAGCACAATCTGGATTCTGAGCTTCAGAAGTCCTGATAGATGCAGAGTTTGACACAGCACCTGCAAGTTTCTTCTCTCTAGGAACATAAGTCCCCGCCCGATATTTTATCATGTCCTGAAACGAAAGTAATTTTTTACAGATACAATACCGGCTTAAACTCAGGGGAATTAGAAAAAAAAACTTATGAACCAAAGTGAATAATTTACCTCTTCATAACGCTGTTTATCTTTTTGAGCTAATAGTTCATACTTTGCTTTATCTTGACAAGTTTCCCATTGACGTCCAAGTTCTTTAGCAATATCTGCAACTTTCCAATCCGGATTGCTTTCTCTGACTTTTGAACGGAATTCATCACAGAAGAAAAAGAAAGCAGACCAGGCTCGTGCAGGTACTGTGGGGTCTTTAGGACCCTTGCGTTTCTTCCCTTTTTTCATGCCATCTGGTGGCACGTAATCACACATTTCACGATTGAATCGTTCTCTATCCAAGACAGCTAGATCTTCGAATCGTTTCTTCTCTTTTGGTGTCATTAACTGTAAGATTAAAGTTGAAGATTTAGAAGAAAAAAAAAGACTACTAACCTTCCATCGTTCTGCGCACTTTTTTGAAAAATCACTGAATACAATTTGTTCACCAGGATGCTTCTTTTTGTGCTCTTCTCGAATAACTTGTACAAAACAGGCATAAGCAGACATAGGACCCTTAGGTTTATTCTTATCTTTGGTCTTATTCATGATTATTTAATAGTTCCAATGTATCTGGAAAAAAATTTCAATCCGAAATCAGATGCTCCATCGCATAAAAGCAAATATAAGCGTATAAGACACCATTGATAGTAAACTACGCTTACCAGTCAAAACAATAACAAAGGGAGCTTAGATTAGCTATGATGGCAATACGAGCCTATATAGACTAGATAGGGAAGGCTTTATGCATACGAATAAGCCTAACTAGTTCATTGCAATCAATCTAACATAGGCAGGTCAAAAGATTTAACTAGCCAATCATCTTCGAGTTTTTGAGATGATGAAATTGCGTTACAACTTGTACAAAGTTATAAATTTTGACTGTTGATAAATCAATTTTGAACATCCAGTATATTCAAAAAGACATATTTATTGTATCAAACAATAATTATTTGTTTGAACTTATCGACAAATTTGCGGAAATTTGCTTTACATTTCGTAGCGCCAAACTGGTTCCTAGTGTAGCGCGTTAAATTGTATTCTGGTTTCGTTTGATTGCATTTGTTAATAAGTGTAAGCGCATGGTGTGCACTTGCTGGGTCATCCATTCGACTTCCTTCCGGCTAGACGCGATCCGCTGCATCTGAGATCTTAGTTTGTTCGGGACGAATTTATCGGCTCCAATGTCCGAAAATCACTCTAATCAACTCTCACGATTATTTTATCCTATAAATGAACGTGTCGGCTTGTCGATTGGTGTTATATCTGGACACCAAAGCAAGCACAAGCGGAAACATTTAGTTTTTACAAGTAATTAGTGCAGATCATTAACAATATCTTAGTTTCACTAACGAAACCTACGAGCATTCAGGTCTATCTCGTCAAGATTACGGATAAAAATGAAATTAAGAAAGTGCAAGTATGCAACGCTAAGAATCTGAAAAAAATTGACTGCAGAGATACAAAGACCAACCTAGCTATGAATTACAAATCATTACAGAAAATAAGGTTAGTCTTCGTAACGTGACTTTTTCATTCTGGAAATAACCGTGACGTTTCTTTTGACATGGTATTTTATCCTGGTCATAAGTAGAAACTCACTATGTATACAGTGGGCTTCTGCTAATTTCTTCAGCTTGTTCTGTCGTGAAGATCCAGCTTCTACAGTTTCCAACACCATCTGCAAACAACAATGTAGAGTACTTAAACAATCTCGGTAATTCATTGGTTTAAAGGTATAAAGAAATGGGAGCCTGAGATGATACCTTAAAATACATCCCTTTGATAGCGTCCAACATACCCTCACCTGTCTTCGTCGCAGAAGGAGTTTCTTAAGCACACTTTTGTGGCACCTGTAATCCCAAAGCTAAAGTTCTGCTTAAGCCTTAATAACGTCAAATGCCTTACTAAATCGATGAATATCACACCGACAGAGAAACCCTTATCTTGGGGCTGCTGTCCGATCCTCTCTCGCAATTAGTAAGCTTGGTAAGCAGTGACTGCTTAATTCAAACCCTTGTTCCTCGGAAATAACAGATTATATGTTTCTACGTGACTTAGTAAGCAACAGCCCAAATCATTTTTCAAGTGACTTAACTACTATCGTAGTTAGACTCATATTTTGGTAGGCACGATTTGTTTCTATACCTAAATATAGCTATAACTGTGAAGTTCTTTCAATCCTTGTTGATTTGAGTTCGGGAAACGGACATGTTGAACAACATCGTGGGTTGTGTTGAGATAGCGTATCCGAGGGATGATAGCAACCGTGGATGTAACCTATCAGAAATCAGTGACCAGATCTGAGGTTTTTGAGCGATTAGGATAGCTTCCTCAGTAACATGTACTGGTCTTATGGTTGATATCCGTGGTGCGGTTGAGATATCTTAACGATACCAATGGAGTTGAAATTGGATGAACATATCTACTTTGACCAGATCTGTTTTCGTATTTTTCGCGTGACATTGGTCAAGTTCGGCTGTCGCATGCTAACTATCTTTCTAAGGTGGTGCAGCATCCAGCTATGGTCTTTTTACACATATTCCGGTATTCACACCTGTGGAAACAACAGCGACATCTATTAGTGTTACAAAAAGCCGATAGATTTCTACTTAGTCCATTACACTGATAGATTCTCGTAAACTTTTCCCATCAGACTCTGAATACGATGAGAGCGAAAGCAAATCAGATCTAGGTTAACCAAAAGTCTAAGAAACGACCGTAAGCAGTGGTGGGCAACAAAAGCAAAAGAGATGGAAAAGACAGCGTCTGTAGGTAACACCAAGCAGCTCTTCGGACTAATAAAAGAAACTGGAATTAAGAAGTGTAAGTGAGGTGATCTCGGAATAGGACGACACTTATCTGCTCAGCGCATATATATCTGGTACCCCCCTTGTACCAGTATTTATGTATTCAGATGAATAAATATCAGCCCAGACGTTTAGAACGATGTGTGAAACTTTAAATGGCAGTCCAGCTGGCTCTCAGCTACTGTACAACTACCCATCATTCCCAGACAGTGTGAGTAGAACATTGAAGTAGGTCCCCCGACCGTTGTTGCTACCTTGACGTGGTGGTCGGGCTTGCCTATCGTGATGAAGCAACCGAGCTATACTGGCTGGAACAACTGTTCCTCAAGGTCCTACCACGTCAGAAAGGTTGGTTGAAGAGCGGGAAGACTAAAAGCAACAAACCCAAGGTCCGAAGGCGAAGTCGTACTGCTGACTGTACAGAGGTGTGACAGCAGTAAGGTGTTTCCTTCAGACAACCAGCATGACAGCGATGCTGCCTTCCCACAAGGAGGGGTGGGGTTAGAAAAGGTCGACCCTAAAAACACACACCTCGCCTTATCCCACGGATATCCGTCTCCGGCGGTAAGGTCTCAACAAGTACGGAGCTAACACAAAAAGTACTCACAAAAATGTCGTGTGTGACCGACCTCAAGCAGTTGTCCCTTGGGCACTGCGGTCACGCTCCCAGGTCACTAAGACCACCTCTAATCCAATTTCCTTTTCAGGTACCTCCAGAACAACCCTTCCACGGTGTGGGCAACCGGGAAGTGATAACCGCCCTCATACCTCTAACAGCACTCAAGACCACTGTATTCATAATCAACCTCCTCTTCAATTCCTATTATTCCTCCTACATCGACTTTCAACTCTAAACTTCTTTTTCGGCTTCCCCCTCAAGTGTCACCATAGCCAACGATTCTAGTGCTCAAAACACTGTCCCAGGTCTACTGAAACCTCGCTCCAAACTACACATTGGAGCCTTCAACGTACGCACCCTATGTCAAATCGGTCAGCAGGCTTCCTTGGCTAAAACCCTAGAGTCTCTTTCCATTGATGTATGCTGTGTCTCCGAAACACGCATACAGGATTCCAGTGTGGTCATTCACTTGACCTCACCTCGGCAAACGGAGAGCCAACGAGATACACCCTTCGTGTATCTGGTGACCCGATGGCCAGTTCTCGTGGACTGGCAGGTGTAGGCATAGCACTAAGCATGAGGGCGGAACAAGCACTGCTAGAGTGGATCCCCGTCAACAGTCGTCTATGTGCTGTTCGGCTAAACGGCTCCGTAAGAACTCGGAAGGATAGGGACACACGTCGTTGCCTTTTTGTCGTTTCTGCCTACGCTCCCACTGACTGCAGCTCAGATGAAGTGAAAGATGAATTTTACAGAAAGCTTCCGAACTTCTTCAGAAAGCTAAACGCTCAGACATAGTACTCGTAGCAGGTGACTTTAATGCTCAGATAGGTAGTTTAAACCAAACAGAAAGGCATTTAGGTGGATATTTTAGTATTCCGACACAGCGAACAGATAATGGTGATCGTCTGCTGCAACTATGCTCAGACAATCGTTTATTTTTAGCAAACACAAATTTTAAGCATAAGGAGAGACATCGTCTAACATGGCGACCCCCTACACCAAACCAACGATGGACTCAAATAGACCATATTGCCATCAGTCATCGTTGGAGAGGGTCGGTAGAAGATTGTCGCTCATTCTGGAGTACCTGCTTGGACTCCGACCATGCCCTAATACGGGCACGCATCTGCTTGCGCCTCACTGGACGCAAAAAAGCCACATTAAAAAGACCCATTAGAACTGAGTTGAGTAACGAGAAAACCAAAAGTAGGTTCCAGGAACAACTGAGGTCACACTTAGGTAGTTGTGAAGACGAGGCTGACCCAGATGTTGCTTGGAAACATACAAGCAGCTGTGGAAACAGCAGTGACATCTATTAGTGACTTAAACCACAGAGTTACAAAGAACCAGTGGATTTCTTCAAAGTCTATCACACTGATGGATTCTCGCAAACTCGTCCCATCAGGTTCCGAACATGATGAAGAGCGATAACAAATCAGATCTAGGTTAAGAAAAAGTCTAAGGAACGACCGTGAGCAGTGGTGGGCAACGAAAGCAAAAGAGATGGAAAAGGCGGCGACTATAGGGAACACAAGACAGCTTTACAGACTAATAAAAGAAACTGGAATTAATAAGTCAAGTGTAAGTGAGATTATTTCGGAAAAAGATGATACTCTCATCTGCTCCCAGTCCAGACGTTTAGAACGATGGGCGGAACATTTCAGCTGGCCTTCAGCTACTCTACAACTACCCTCCATTCCCAGACAAAGTGAATGGAACATTGAAGTAGGTCCCCCAACTCTTGCTGAAGTTCAAAGGCTATAGTTAATCTGAAACGAGGAAGGGCAGCTGGTCCAGATGGATTGGCTCCAGAAGTCTTTAAGGATGGTGGTCCAATTTTAGCGATTAGGTTGACTAATATTTTAGCTAAGATCTGGGAGTTAGACGTTATCCCATCTGACTGGTCGCAATCACTTATCGTCCCAATATATAAGAAAGGGTCAAAATCATCCTGTGACAACCACAGAGGGATTAGTTTAACTAATATAGTATCTAAAATACTAGCCTCGATAATTATCAGACGCCTAACTAAGACTCGTGAACTGCAAACACGAGAGAACCAAGCTGGCTTTAGACCTGGTCGTGGCTGCATCGACCACATATTCACCATTCGTCAGGTTCTAGAACACAGGCATACTTATCGGCGTCCGACAATGGTGGTCTTTCTTGACTTAAAAGCAGCATTTGACTCTGTAGACCGCGAGATTCTGTGGCAGTGTCTGTCATTGAAAGGCGTACCTCAGAAGTACATAAACCTTGTGAAGGCTCTTTACTCGAACACTACTAGTCGAGTCAGGGCTTATGGCGAACTGTCATCTACTTTTGCAACCTCAAGTGGTGTCCGTCAAGGCTGTCCACTTTCTCCATTTTTGTTTAACTTCATCATAGACCTATTGATGGAAATAACACTCTCGTCGACTGAATTCTCGGGTATTGATCTCCTTCCAGGAGGTCCACTTATCGACTTAGAATACGCAGATGACATAGTCCTGTTTGGTGAAGACGCTGACAAAATGCAGAGTCTTTTGGTAGCACTAAGCAACAATGCCAGAATGTTTGGGATGCGCTTCTCTCCCTCTAAATGCAAGTTGTTGCTTCAGGACTGGTCTGCGTCAACACCTGAACTAAGGATAGGGAGTGAAGTAGTCGAACGCGTTGACAACTTCACTTATCTTGGAAGTCTGATCAGCCCTAATGGGTTGGTGTCTGACGAAATCTCAGCACGGATTCGAAAAGCTCGTTTGGCTTTTGCCAACTTACGTCACCTTTGGCGAAGGCGAGATATCCGTCTATCAATAAAAGGACGAGTATACTGCGCGGCAGTCCGTTCTGTTTTAATTTACGGCAGCGAAACATGGCCTTAAGAGTAGAAGACACCGTAAGCTACTAGTATTTGACCACAGATGCCTTAGAAATATTGCTGGCATCTGCTGGGATCACCGGGTAAGTAATAGTGAGGTTAGACGCAGGGTATTAGGGAATGATGGTAAATCAGTTGATGAGGTTATGAATCTTCATCGACTGAGATGGTTGGGCCACGTGTTACGTATGCCTGAACACCGATTACCACGACGTGCAATGCTAACCGGTGTTGGAGATGGTTGGAAGAAAGTTAGGGGCGGCCAAACCAAAACGTGGCATCAGTGCTTGAAGTCACTAACTTCTAGTCTGAGCCATGTTGGTAGATGCAGACTACTTGGTTGGGGTCCGCGTGACTTTCGTAACCAATGGTTGGAGACTCTTGGTGACATGGCTCAGAATCGATCACAATGGCGTCGGTGTATACACTCCCTGTCTTCCCTTAAACTAAGAGATTAAAATCACTTCATATCTTTCTTTCTACGAACTAATTCTTTCTTCCTGTACTATATTCTTATATGCAATCTTTCTCCTATATATTACCACCTTTGACCTAACCACTCCTATGAATCCGGTGTTCATCTTGTTGTGCTAATGAGGTATGGCAACCTGGATCGATGCATATATGTGCCTGGTCCTACGTTGTAGCTGACTGACTGACTGATCTGAAGTTCAAAAAGCTATAGCTAATCTGAAACGATGAAGGGAAGATGGATTGGCTCCAGAGGTCTTTAAGTGTGGTGGTCTAGTTTTGGCAATTAGGCTGACTAAAATCTGGGAGTTGGACGTAATCCCATCTGACTGGTCACAATCACTTATCGTCCCAATATATAAGAAGGGGTCAAAATCATCCTGTGGAAACCATAGAGGGATTAGTTTGACTTCTAAAATACTGGCCTCAATAATAACGGACGCCTAACCAAGACTCGTGAGCTGCAAACACGAGAAAACCACGCTGGCTTTAGACCTGGTCGTGCCTGCATCGACCACATTCACCATTCGTCAGGTTTTCGAAAACAGGTATGCTTATCGGCGTCCGACAATGATAGCTTTTCTTGGCCTACAAACAGCATTTGACTCGACCGAGAGGTTCTGTGGTAGTGTCTGTCATTGGGATGTGTACCTCAAGTACATAAAGCTTGTGAGGGCTCTCTCCTCGAACACTATCAATCGAGTCAGAGCTTATGACGAACTGTGATCTGATTTTTTAACCTCAAGTGTTGTCCGACAAGGCTGTCCACTATCTCTATTTTTGTTCAACCTCATCACAAACTCACTACTGGTAATAACGTCATCGTCGACTGAATTTTCAGCCATTTATCTCCTCCCAGGAGTTCCACTTATCGACTCAGAGTACGCAGATAACATAGTCCTGTTTGGTGAAGGCGCTGATAAAATGCCGATGCTTTTGGTAGCACTGAGCAACAATGCCAGGACGTTTGGGATGCGTCTCTCCCCTTTCATATTTGCAACCAACCCGGGTTTTATGCGTTATTTTAGCAATGAAATGGTACTCCTTGTGAGATTACGCTATTAGTAAGACCCTTATAGATGTTCAGGCTTCATTTACTTATGATTTTTTCTTTCATCAGTACACGGAATTATTCAAGCACTATTGAATGCCATATTGTGTAATTGTTTTTGTGCGTTTTACCATATCAGTAATTTTATATTGGTATCAGTAACATTTTTTTATTTTAAATACTGCAAATTATGCACTGGATTTTGTCATACAACTAGAATAATCTATTCAGTCTAGTTTAAATACCTGCTATCTAGAAGCTGAGTCATGTCTGGGTTATTAATACGTTTGTGCATTAAGTTATATTTTCAAGTAACAATTTTTACCTTCGTATTATTTTGTGGACATAAATTATCATGTTTATTTGTTCTAACTCTATTCATTTTCCCTTATTTTCCCTATATTTCCATTGATTCAGATATGGGTATTTAATGCTTTGAAATTAGAAGAAAAAGACATTTTGTCAGTTCATTTTGTCGTACGCTTGCAACACTTCTACCACATGTGATCAAAGATATAGAATTAGTCAATTTCCCACAAGATATAAATATTTCTCCACTTAGCCAACATGAAACATTGGATGCTTTGCTTAGTAAGCAAAAACGAGTTAACGTTTATAGTTTCTTTTCGTTAATTTGTCTCATAATTTTAGAATGGGTTGTATATTTTACTATGCACTTGAATTATATCAGTGTTTGGGGTACAAGTTCTGCAATTGTTTTTTTTATACCTTGGTTAGGGGGAGGTCTGTAATATCACATTGGCCGTCACATACAAAAATGTCTGAAGGCTGAGTACGTGAATCTCTAGTTGTCAATGAGTTACACTGAAAAAAAACGCATATTTATTGTCTAAAAGTGGATGAAATATTAGGTTAATGATATCACTGACTTCTCTGGTCCAGTAGTTTTTCGGTTGCTATATGGCATTCTATTAAAGTCATATTTTTTGTCACTGGACTTAAGAATTCAATTAATGTTTAATTCACTTTTTATCTATCTATTGATATTATCACTTTTAACACCTTATGAACTGATTGAAATAACTAAATTTCACCGTTGTAAATAAGAGAACAAATTTTTGATGAGATTATCAAAGTTTATTGCCTAATTTGGGTTGAGGATTTTGTATGGAATGTTCTGTCTATCGATTAGTTACTTCGACATTCTAAAATTGTCATGTCAGGTTAGACAAAGTGAGTGCAACTGTGTCATTAAAACAGATAACATGTCACTTTCATAAATTAAGGTTACCTCAAATATATCAATTAGAATTGAACGTTATAGGTTATTAAAGTTCTCTTAAACGTTTCACTCGATGAATCTTTGTATTATCGTAAACCAATTTGTCACCTATACCGGCCGTCCTACTCAACGTCAACGTCGTGCACCCTTCGGCTTCACAATTTGTAGACAAACCACCTGTCAAAACACCAGAAAAACTACCAGGTTTTTGGTCTGGTTTTTTTTATTTAGACTCAGGTTGACAATTTTAAAGGTAAATTCAAGACCAAAAATACCATTGATAATAATTCTCATTATGTACATCACCAAGGGATTTATGATGTAAAGCCGAATGATAGTTTCCAATTAATCGATTGTAATTTAGGACGCAAGAGATATCACAGCAGTTAATGGGTCACATGAAAGCTTTCAGTTTAGCTAGTGTCAAAATATTATGAATCGTACTTTTAATAGCTACACATAGAAATTGTCTAACAGATTTTCCGGAAATCGGCTCTCCTTAGTTTTTCATTTTCATTCCTTCCTCATTTCTAGCAACCGCCCTATCTGTGTTTGTTAATAATACATATATAATGAGGTGCAGTCGACAAAACTTTGTCAAGACTAATTCAGCTCGTAGTTAGATGGAATTATTTTGATGAAAGAATGTGTATCTCCGTTGTTCTGTGATGTATTAGAGCTAGGCTTTAGACTGTGCGTGAAATTTACAGAATTTTATAGTTTAATCTCGGCAATTGATAAGATCCTAAGTTACTGGAGTAATATACTACCGGTGCTGGGTTCGAGTCCTAAGTGAACATCAGATGCTGTCGATCCCTGTTGATGAGTCTCAAACTGGGCAAAACGTGCGTCCTTGATTCTACTGCTAACCACCATCCATTTTTGCTTAAGACATACCATCTTGCTTACAAATTATCTACTATCTTATAATAAAGAAATTTTAGATTTAGATGCTTATCATTAGTGTAGGAGATTGTTGATTTTGTATCACGTGTTAACCCCTAATTAGATAACCAAAAAGGATTGGATAACTGTTTCGTCCCGTTATGGTCATTTCAGCAGTGCTCATCTCTGTTATGGTCGTGGACGACTCATACTAGAATGAAATGGCTGCCCAATATTACCTAATTTTCAATGCTTACCCATAACGTAAACTAAGAAATTGTTTTAGAATTAACACTTTAACGAATTACTCTTGTCCTTTCTCTCTGGCTAAAATATTTTGGTTAGATCCTGAATATATGTCAACGGTTGGTACCGGTGGCGATGAGGATAATGTTGGCGGTGATGAAAAATCAGTTGATAAAGATAAGTCGGATGTCAATGCACCGGTCACTGATTCATACCGTTCATTGACAAAACGTGAAGAAGATGATATACGACAATTTCTAGATGAACTTGATGAAGAATCAACACTCTTAAATGCTGCTCAACTAACAGAACGTTTACAAGAACAGTTGGCTCACATTGAAGGTGTAAGATGATTTATGTTTGGTCTTTGGATTTTCCTTTTTTATTTCTAAGAATAATTTATTTGGTAGTATATTTTTATGAATTTAATCAAGTTCGCGATACAATCTAACGTCAACTGACGATTGTATTTTGGCTATCTCAGTAGTGTGTATTTATAGTGCTTTTCACAAAATTTATATAGATGGTATTTGGTCTGGTTTTATGTAAAGTCGTTAGTTTTTAAATTGATTGATGAGATCAGTTTACGCATAGTAAAAGTCAGATAGGTTCATTCCTGATTTTTACCAATAATAAACAATAATAATAACTCATTGGTATTGATTGTTTTAATCTTCCCACTTGTATTTAGGACTGTAACAATTCAATCTCTTTTAGCTTATGTGCATCCTATGCAAATTGCTTCGATATTGCGATAAAATCGCAAGTGTTTTGGGCAGAGTTGGATGGTGGTTCATAATGGAATCGAGAACATGCCTTCCGCTACATTTAGGACTCATCATCTGGATGTATCTACATTCCATAAAAATTCACCCTATTAGACAAGGTCGTAGATATGTGGACTTAGTAGATAAGTGGATATCGCGATGGTGTTGGGTGCAGATGTTACTGGGTTCGAGCTGCTGAGTAGACATCAACTCTTGGATGTAAGTATATCGAACTGACAAGTTCCAAATAGGACAAAACGAATGTCTTGGTTTCCACTGCTAGCTATTACCTACCTCTGCTGGTATTATTATTATTATTGGTAATAATAAGGATTTAATTGTCTATTTGTTACTATTTATGACTGAACTGTTCATTTGTTTATACACTGTATATGTTGTTCATATATTTTCTTTTCCAATAGACAAATGTTCATTCAATTATGTCTTCTGAATCTCAAGTATTAAGTCTTATGACAACATTGGACAGTGCTATTGAACGAGCTGAATTATTAGAGAAACAATTAAATATTTATTATAGTTTTTTAGAGGTTTGTTATTAATATTTCTAAATGATAAATTAAAATTGTTTTCTTTTCTCTGTATATTTTTAAGTGTTTTTTTTTTAATGTATTGATATGATCAATTTTATCCTGTAAGAACTTTTGATGAGATCAATCATTCATAATCAATATAACAAAGCTGTTACTAATGTACATTGTTTTAAGCCGTTACAGCACATTAGTATATCGACTTAGTCTGGTAGGTGTAGACTACCTGGTTGGAATTGCGAAACAATGGCAACCTATGGTTAGAGACCTTGAATGGCATGGCCCTAAATCGTTTGAAATGACTCAGGTGTATCCACTCTTTGTGTTCACCCAAATCCTAATCTTCTGAATTCTTTATATCCCTTTCTTTTTTCTCTTTCCAAATTTATTTCACTCCTTGAATAACATCTTCAAACCTTAATCTTTCTGATTACTGCTTATACTTTTACTACCTCTACCGCTATGGGATTTGAATCGACAACTGCATGTCTGTGCTAATGTGGTGTGGCAACTCGGACTGATGTATGTACGTACGAAGTTCTACGTTGTTACTGAATGACTGATAGCGACATAGTTAAATAGGTGTGTTTTACGCTTGTGTTAAATCAATCATTTGCGTAACCTGAAAATGGGATAATTTGTAAGTGTTACTCATCACAATTTAACATCCGTTGAGGGTACTACTGAGAACTAGGAGATCTAAACATCTGTTTCGTCCTAATTTGAGATTTTTTATTAGGTCAATACATGACCAATACTACTTACAAACTGAACTAATTTCAACAAAAAATTCTGCAGTAAAAAGTATAATGATTTTTTTGAATAATTAAGTTAGATTCATTTATCCATCTATAAAATCATTAGTCCATTGTGAAAGTCCACTTTAACAACTTTTTCACTATATTTGTGCAAAGTAGATGAAGTCAAGTGGATTGGAGTACCAGACAAACAGTTTTCTAAAAAAAATGTTTATATAACGAAAAGATAAATTTATCTCTTGCCTCTCACTTCCGATTAATATACATATTCGGTAATAATATCACTCTATATTGTTTCCTCATATCTTTCTGTATACACTTTTCAAATTCATTATACGTAATTCTATTCATAAAAACAGGTTACTATTGTTACTATACGTACAAAAGTTACATTTTGTAGCTGTTTCATAGCGATTTTGTATATTTTTCGAGTCTTAGAATAGGGTCTAGTAACTTGAACATTCTTTACGCCACATAATATCTCAGCGCCTATCATGTCGAGCACTGTTATCTATAATTTACACCGATTGCTTCCTAAAGTATTTCAGCGCGGTAAATTTAGTCAATTTTAGAGTGTCGCAACAGTTTGACTTCCATAATAGGCTCTTTATGATCATGCAACTCACTCATATGTAACTTTGTTGTTTAGTATATGTGATCACTATACTTCAGTAGACTGTCAGTTAGTCATAAGTGATCTAGAGTACTACATAAGCACAATGGGATGAAATTAATTAAAGGAGTTCCAAGATAATTGAAATCACTACTCTAGATATATTCACTTTTTCTGTAGTGTTGTTAAGCTTATGTTTCATCAAATTTCCGTTTCAACAAATAAACAGGGAATCTGATTCCAGTCTAATATATGTGATAGAAAAAGCATATTGACTTCTAAACCCTGTAAAAAAAGCTTATGTTTAACAATATTCTACGTGTATTCCACTTTTTCGAGTCAAAGTTAATGTTGGGTGATTGATAGCAGTCAACAGATTGGCTTGAACTCTTACCTTTTGTTCCAGTCAACATTTGTGTGCCTTTCTAATCTCAAGAGAACTGGTACTTTGCATTTTGTGCTGAGAACCACCGTACCCTCCATAGTTGTTACCAATACAATATTCGGGTCTTGACTGGGAGGTTTACAGATTTACTCTTTGATTATTTAGTAGTAACCAGTTTTGTCGATCGAGTTCTAATATGGTCACTTATTTAAATGACATGAACTCATAATACTCTTTGTTGTTCATCTGCCTGGGGATGTTCGTCAGAAAACATAGTGTAACGTTTTTACAAAATTTGGATGGTGTCTAGTAAGAATCCAGGATATGTTCATTTGGGGCTTATCAAGTGGATACACGTACACCCCAGTGTACGATAGAGAAGCTCTGGAGGAGATGGATAGTTTTAAGTACCACCATTACTAACTAATGAGGATATGATGCATATGTGAAGACACATATTGGCAAAACAAGAAAAGCATTTTTACAATTGAAGAACATATGGGACTTGAAACAAATGTCAATCAACATCAAAGTGAGAATCTTCAGTACAAACATTAAGATAGATGTGCTATACGGAGCAGATACCTGAAGATACTACAAATTGGTTTTTGACCGGACATCAGCAAAAACTTACTGCGTGAGAGAACAAAGCAGCTTCCAGTTGTTGAGATTAAGAAAGGACGCTGGAGGTAATTAGGACATCCTTCGGCAATCATCAAACTCCATCGAGTCAATCCTCAACCTAAAATTGTGAAGGCAGAAGGAAGAGAGACCGACCAATGAGCACATTGTACTGAGAAACGGGGGCAGACATCAAAAGAATAAACAGCGCTTGTAAAAAACTGTAAAGGAAAGCTAAGTTTATTGTAAGTTGAATATTGCTGTTCGGCGACCTATGCTCCACAAGTGGTGACGGGAGTAAGTAAGTATTTATGTACTGTTATGACGATATTAACAATTGTGATAATTATGATAGTTATCATTATTATCATACCCATTTTGATGAATAATATTTTTCTTCAATCAATGATATTCCATTCACATATAGGAAGTTGAAGATGCAATGTCTACCCTACGTGATCATGATCAATTAATCCAAACTACAGTAGATAATCGCGCAAATTTATTAAATGTACTTGAACAACTAGTCGATCGGTTAGATGTTGATCCAAAATACTTCCATGTATTAATGAAAGGTGATTTAAGTACATCTGATGGTATTGCACGTTGTATCGAAGCTGCTGGATATTTGGATCGTTTGCTGAATTCAGAATTTAAAGAAGGTTTGTGTAATAACGTTCCTATCGATTGTTTTGTCATTTTGTCTGTATGACCAAACGGAATTTTATTTTTTTATTTCACTACATAAATATTGGTATAAGAGGGCACCAAATATATTGCGCCACACCATATTTGTGTGTTTGCGGGCTGTGATACTGCCCAGGTGCACAGACCAAAACAGGTGGTTTTCTTAGGGAACCACACCCCGAGCCTTTGACCTAAAGGTCTAACCCACAAGGCAGTGGAGCATCGTGAGGAGATGCATTCCCATGGTAGCCGGTGACCAACGATTGGTTCATACGCCATTTGTTCTCGCAGGATACTGGACCCATATGCACCATTGGTTTGTGATCCGGTTAAAGCGCCGGACATTCGCTTTTCGTCCTGTCATTTTGGTAAACAACACCCCCGCCACGAGAAGGCAATGAGTAGGACTTCCCTGGCAGAGGCTGTATACGCGTGGCCATGTCAGAGCATTTTGAGAAGGAGGGGGGGCCCACCCCACTCTCGGCCATACCAGGGCATTTGGGGGCACCAAACGGAATAGTAACTACGCGTAGTAATTGGGTCAGAAACTTCGAAATGCTTCACAAACTAATCTCATAATTGAAGAATTAATTAATTGACTTATTGTCTGCAAATATTATTACCCTGTCTCAATAAAGAGATAATCCGGAGTCTGTTAAACACTGAGTGGGAAGGGAAGAGTATTTTTTGAATTTCATTTCTCTCTCTCTGATTGCAGTATATTGAGTTGATCACTTTATTCGTTTTGTAAAGGTTAAGTATGTGATCCACTTGATTTTTTCATGGATCCACCTAGTCTGCTTCTGTCAGCTTGCTCCATCTGTACTTGAATTTAAGCTTCATCAAGCAATAACCGATTAGAAATTGTATAATTTAAGTGTAATAGTTATCAACTTAAAAATTCACACCACCGGTTTCTCAAGTCTATAGAATCAATCCACTTCTAGAATTTCAGTCATCCAGTTAATGATATCACTAGCTCTTACATACTTGAATCATTTGATTTAAAACTACGTAAATGAATGTAAGTTGTATAAAATATCTATTAGTTCTACATAATAAATCTATATGACCTAAGCACTCAGAAAGTACTCACATTATCGATTACCAATACAATGTATATCTCTTTTTCCGTGTGCACAACTTTCGTCATTGAGATGATCCATTTTATGATACAGAGAAATAAACATTAGATTATTGATCATGTGATAATGTAAAAAAATAAACAGAATTTGTATTATGTTAATGATTGTCATATATCTTCTTTATTAGTGTAACTTATCAACAACTTACTTATATGGTGCATGGTAATGGTTATCTCACCACAAACTTATTTTACCTCTAGAATAGTTAAATCAATCAACTGATGAAGACACTTGACAGTTGTTTCGTATTAGCTTGGAAAATTACTCATAAGTGTATACATCCGATTGTATTATTCCATAGGATTAGCTTCATAGAGTTCAAATTCTCATTAATAAACCGTTTAAATTTCCAAATTTATCAGAAGGGGTTTGTAGAGATTTTAGAAATTTCACAGATTGAAATCATGAGTCAATTGAAGCTAGACCACCATGGAGAACCTGGAAGCACTGGACGGCCATTTCGTCCCTGTACGGGACTCCTCAGCAGTGCGCGTCCACGATCACCGCACCCCGCGAGATTCGGACCCAGGACCTATCGGTCTCGCGCCAAGCGCTTAACCAACTAGACCACTGAGCCGGCATCCAATGGTGTTAATGTCTAACCAACTCCACCAAAATCATCCACCTGAGCTACAAATCTTCTCCACCATCTCAAATTCACGAAGTTGCGCTACTGTTTACCATTGTCTTCAGTGAGCTGATATCTCACAACAGACCTGGTTGAACTCCACTGGTCTAGCTTCAATTGACTCATGATTTCAATCTGTGGAATTTCCAAATTTAATCAGTTTTTAATATGAGTAAATTTTCATCCAATATAACAGAAAGCTAGAAGCAGACTTGTTGAATTAAGTCATGTTAGGATATGTCAACTACTTTTATTAAAATCTCCATGATTGTCGTAATCAGTGTTTGTACAACGTATTTAAACGAACAATATTGTTTTTAATTACATCATCATCAAGCTTTATCCGAATATTTGCCCCCAAATGCCCTGGTATGGCCGACAGTGGGGTGGGCCCTCCCTCCCGAAATGCTCTCACACGGCCACGCTTATACAGCCTCTGCCAGGGAAGTCCTACTCACTGCCTTCTCGTGTTCAAATAAATAAATAATTTATACGAATATAAATGAATATTTACATTAAAATATTAAACTAATCAAGGGGATTTATGAAACCATAGTCACAATTGCATAACTACATATAATACGTGAAAAGTAAAAAAAATTATAGGAAAAAGGCAATGGTATTATAGTAGTGATAATAATAATAAAAGTTTTATTCATTAGTGTAACATAAGAAGTAGGTCAAACATAGATAAATAGCTTTAAAATAATAATTACACAACATTTGAATTATGTAACATTCAGCGCGTGGACAGCTAGGATGCGGCTGGACGATTTATACTTCGCAGATGATCTGGCTCTTCTATCGCACACGCAACAACAAATGCAGGAGAAGACGACCAGTGTAGCAGCCGCCTCAGCAGCAGTAGGTCTCAACATACACAAAGGTAAAAACAAGATTCATTGATACAACACAGCATGCACCAGTCGAAACACTTGACGGAGAAGCTTTAGATGTGGATAGTAAGGCCTAGGACAGAGTGGGTTAGAGAATGCTGGTCGGCGGCCTGTGCTCTATTTGGAGTGACAGAAGTAAGTAAGTGACATTTAACGTGTGATTCATTAGATGTGTGAGTTTATAGACGAGTAGAGATTAAAAAAATGACAAACAAATACATGGTTTGGAGAAAATTAAAATATTTTATTAAGTCATATGCAACCAAGGAAGGGATAAGGTTGTCACGAAGTTCAAAACACTGTCTTCTGTTGTATACAGAAGATAGAGTCGAAACCAATTGGGTAATGACAGAAGTATGTGATAAATCAATCGTATGACTTCTGTTAACCAGATGTGCCAAAATAGAGCTGTATATCGTCTTTATCTGGCCCATTTCAGACTACATGCATATCTTCTAGGTGTTGTTGCGTAATCTATTTCACTGTGATCATTGACTCATAAATTCCCTTGATTTGTTTGATATTTTCGTATAAATATTTATTTATATTCGGGTTAAGCCTAATGACAATATTGTTCGCTTATATGTTTTGTTCTATTTTCACAATGAGAATTTTCAACATTATTTCTAACCATCGATTGTTACGTAGAATAAGTTTTAAACTTTTTTTGTGCCGTTACATTAGTTAGGTATCGAAATCAAGAGTTTTCGATCATAGTTACTTAGTTTATATTCACTCATTGCATTCACTATTATGGCTTATGTATATAGAGTCATGTAACATTTCCATTTTTATTATTAACATTCAGGTGAAGAACATCTTCAAGCTGTAGATGAACGTATGCAAGAATTGAGAAATTTACGTGATTCATTTGCCACAAAATTATCAGGTTTGTAAATGATGCAATGTTACGTTACGCCAGTCAATTAGGATTTGTTGTTAACACAGGGATTAGTATGCCTTCATCAGATACAATGTCAACAATATCAAATAATCAATCTGGTATTGGCGGTGGTGGCGGAGGAAATAGGAAAACATCAATGATGATTACAAGTTCTTTTCGTGTTGCATCTGATTTATATGCTGTTCAAAGAACTGACTTACTTCAACTAACTCCACTAGTTGGTAACTGGTTACAAGCTAATAGAAAAGATTTATATATTGGAATTAAAAGGGTAATAATGTGTTTGTTTTCTTTTACAAGAAGAATTTGTAATTTACACTAATTTCATTATTGCTAAAACATCCTTTTTGGTTGCCTGGTTGTCTATTGTTCAGCTATTCAGGTGATTACACATGACATTTTAATATTTTATGTCAATTGTATTATAAGATACCGATACATCTTTACAGCTACACTGCAACGTATCATGTTATTAACTGTGGTTTACTCAAGAAGAGTAATCTTTTCTTCTAGTTGACGTAGTCCATAGCTTGCTATCTTGATGTGATAATCGAGTTTACATATTGTAATGATCTATGAGGAGCGTTAAGATTTGAAACAGTAGGCTTGATGTTTGCGAGAGATGTGATATTACTAACTGCACAGAAGTGATGTCAGCAAACCGTGTGTTGTTTGCAAGCAATTGAAAAATCTACAATCCTATAATATTTGTAGAATGAAACATACTACTTTTTATAAATGAGTAGTAATTATAGCAGTTGTGTCATTGACCTATATTTTTTACTACAGTCCATATAAAATCATACAATTTATTTCTATCATTGTTTCTAGATGTATATTGAAAAATCACAAAATTTTTTTAAACGACAAATACAAGAAGTACTGAAGTGTACACAAGACTCCGTTGCTAATCTTGTCCGACCTGGGAAATGTAATTTAAAATTGCTTTTTGTTTTCTTAACCAAAACTAATTTGTGAACGCAATATTTTCGTTAACTTTTTGGTCATGTATTATATATTCATATATGCTTAGTAGGGCTATTTTTTGGCGAGATGGCCGGTAAGGCTAAAATTCCTTTGGCTAAGTGACAGAAGATGCTTCGTTTAAACGATAAAGATTTGTTAGAAGCCCATTTGGACATGAAATTATCTAATCTCGTCATTCACTCAATTCCTTAAACGTTTGTTAATTCGTCAAATCTTGTATAATTTTCATGTAACCCTTCAGTCACGTCATTGTTCTAAATCCTCCTTATCTATTTTCAAGTGATCTGAGACTGATGTAAACTCTTCACAACTTCTATAATTTACCATAATATTCATTTTATTATGTTACCGGACATCATTCTTTTTTTTAAATCTCACCTTTAAATGACCTCACACTTGTTTATTTGCAGATATATGTCTAATTATTGTTGCAAATCTTTGTTATTCTGAAATTCTCCATCATCAATGTCTATTACTCCATTTTATGGGATATTTGATTGTTCCATTCTTATACGATTACGGCTTCAGTCAACTGAGGAGAAACTATGGAATAAAGTGAATTCATATTATTCTGACTGAATTATTATTATTTTTTGGTCGTATCTAACTTCTTATAAGGGCACCAACTATATAGTTAGGGGCGGCCAAACCAAATCGTGGCATCAGTCCTTGAAGTCACTAACTTCTAGTCTGGACCATGTTGGTAGATGTAGACTACTTGGTTGGGGTCCGCGTGACTATCGTAACCAATGGTTGGAGACTCTTGGTGACATGGCTCAGAATCGATCACAATGGAGTCGGTGTATACACTCGTTATACTTAATATTAGTGAACACTTCACCATCGAAATAAGTATTACATAATGAATGTACACTATTTTATGACTTTAATTTATAAATGTCATAATTGATAATATCAGTAGATATTTTAATGAAAGTATACTCTGTCTCCTAGTGGTACCGGTTTCAATCAAAATATCAATTTTATGAAAGTTGCATTTTACTTTCAGGTTATGTGTACGATCTTTATGATGCAGTCTTTAATATGTACTACTTATAAGGAATTTAAGAAGAAAACTGAGTTACAAATACTAATCAGTGCTTCTTTGTTACTAAGGATAATAATGAGTTATCATTTCAACTGTTGATTGATATTTTACGTGATCGTGTTAATCATCATATCAAGGTGGAATCATTTATTCCGTAGCCTCTATTTATATTTTATTTTTTCTTGTATGTATTAGCGAAAGAAATTCAACGTTTAGAGAATATACCATCAGATGTTGGAAGTGTTATGTCATTACATAATTTAGATTCTAATCTTTTAACTCAAGTTGAATCGGTAAGTTTTTTTTGTAAGTTGGATGAACTTTCTTTTTTTTGAACTCACTTTTTTTAATATTTCAAATGTCTACTTTAATTCTTATCAGTAGAGAGATTTAATTTAATAAATTTTATTCTATTGGTCAAGTAAACAGATATAACATTGAAATATATGGTTAGTTATATTACCACTAGACCTTATTAATCTTTATTGATTTCTGGTGATGGTTCTTCAACTGATATCATTTCATGGAGTAGGTGACTGAGAGTTACGAGTACATACATGTGTTTAACAGCAAATGAAACTATTTAGTCCACAATCACTACTTTTCTTCACTTTCTACTAATTATTCTACTTCAAATACTAACTGTTCTTGTATTGTTTCATCTTTTGCCTCATGTGTCACCAGTGCTAGCGATTCAAGTGCTGGATTATTTCATGTGTTTATTGTTAATCATGTTTTTTTTTCTGCTTTATTTTCTTTCTTTTAAATAATAGATCTTTGATAGTTGTTTCGATAAAATTCTAACCCTAATTCGTACAGAACAAGCATTTTTAAATCAATTCTTCGGTTTTCATTTGAATGCATCACAAATTGAAAAGTCAGTAAGTATGTTTAATTGTTTTACTTGTTTGTTTTGTTTTCCCTTTACAACTAATGAGAAACCACAAGTTGAACAATATTTTCAAACGGAAATGAAATTTACATATGAACGTTCTTGTTCAAAAGTGATTTGATTTTTTTCTTCTAACCTACAACATTTTTTCCTCTTGTTTACTTCTCTAGATTTTCATTCCTTTTTATAAAGGAAATATGTTTCATTGTATGTCCTGACACTTCCTTCCATCATTTTGTAGTGATTTTTTAAAAATTTCAGTCATTCAGTAACAAAGTAGAGAACTTCGTACGTACATACATCAGTCCGAGTTGTCATATCATTTTAGCACAGAGATACAATTGTCGATTCAAATCCCATAGTGGTAGAGGCAGCAAGAGTATAAGCAGTAATCGGAAAGATAAGGGTTTGAAGATGTTATTCAAGGAGTATAATCCAGTGAAATAAATTTGGAAATGGGAAAAGAAATTGACAAGGAGGCATCAGGAGATTAGAATTCGGGTGAACACAAAAAGTGGATACACCTGCGTCATTGCAAACGATTTTGATCCATGTCATTCAAGGTCTCTAACCATCGGTTGCAATTTTTTAAAGAAAATTTATTTTCTGTAGAGTGATTTAAGTTATAAACACCTATAGACTTACATATATTTCCGTTTTTGTAACCTGTTCTGTGTTGCTATACTGTGTTTGATTAATCATGATTACTATTAGTATCAACAGAGACCTATGTCATAGACGATTAGCATCTACGATTCTATATACTCGCGCATGAATTCATTTGGTAGCATGAGACATTTTGATCCATTGAACTACTCTATCTTGTTTTAATTCTTTGGTTCTACGTATACATTCAATGCTTTATATGCTAATAATATTCTTGTGGTAGAGCAGTAATGATATGTTTTCTTTTAATGTTGTCACGGTGATTAACGTCTTAGTGGTATGTTCTGACGAAAAATAAAGGAATGGTAACTGTTGAGAATTACTTATGGACTGTTATCACATATATTCTTTTTGAATAACTATGAAGTAACTATATTATATGTATATTCATATTCCTTTTATTATAAGCTTGCGTTTGATTTATTGTACGATTTACTATTCTAAAGTTATTCCCAATTTATTAGTTCCAGTCTCTCACAATCAACGCTACTTTTTGGCTTGATTTTATACAGATATTATTTTCTATTTTGTGATATTATGAGGTCTGGTTTGTTTGTATATAAACCAAGTATGTTTGAAATATAGGATCCATATAGCGGAGACTGATACTGATGTTCTGGGATGGTTTAAGGTAAAAAGTAACCAGTTGCCATCGAGGTCTACAAAAAAAGCTGTGAACAATATGTGGAGAGATTCGAACACTTCACTTTAATTTGAAATTTGTGCTGATGATGTTGTTCAGAATAACAATGAAAGTCCTACAAACAAACCATCCAGCTCAGAGAACAGAACTCCATCAAAAACTTATGTCCTGGACTAAACCGTCTGGGTTGAGCAAGAAGCCAATATCTCAGTAGACCAATGACAACTCGGAGTTGACTCTAGGCTGCTCGTATTGGTTTATGCGTCATTGGTCTGGTCAATAACCGTTGTTCTAATTGGTGATCGTATCACATAATAATTAACAGACCATAAGGACATTGAATAAGACTTTTTCCAAATGACTGATAATTCTCATTGACTTTATGAATGTTAAACTGAGATTTCTTTGTATGATGGCAATGAGAAAAAGGTATTCAGACTGAGGTCTTGAGTTATTCTTTTTTACCGTCGTAATTTTTCTCCCTTTTTTCTTTTGGATAGTTATGTTGTGAAATGATGGAATAAACAAAACTTAGGTTAAGCATAAAATCAAAAGTGGAAAATAGAAAATTGTTCAATGAAACTGTAATTCTTCATCGATTTAAGTGTCTGGGATATGTGGTGATAATTTCAAATCACCAACTATCTGGATATGCAATGTTTCCTGATTTATATGTATATGTCATTTGAATGAGAGCCATGGGTGGTCAAAATGAGATATATTAGCTGTTGATAAAGTCATTGACATTTGGTCTAAACTATTTTACTTGATATAACCAAAACAATATGAAACGTAAAATCAATGATATCATTTCTTACGAGGATAGTTATAGTGAAATGGAATGCATGTCAGTCAGTCAGTTAGTCAGTTACAAGGTAGGACTAGGCACATATATGCATCGGTCCAAGTTGCCATACCGCATTAGTACAGTAAGATGAACACCGGATTCATAGGAGTGGTTAAGTCAATGGTGGTAATATATAAACGAAGGATTTTATGTAAGGATATGATACAGAAAGAAAGAATTAGTTCGTAGAAAGAAAGATATGAAGTGATTTTAATCTCATAGTTTAAGGGATGATGAAGAGTGTATACACCTACGCCATTGTGATCGATTCTGAGCCATGTCATCTAGAGTCTCCAACCATCGGTTACGAAGTCATGCGGACCCCAACCAAGTAAGGAATGCATGCAATTGATTTTATGTCATCTCTCACATCCCCACTTAATCATAGATTATTTATTTAATCGCTCACATTAAAAAAGTATTATCATTCTCACATAAACGTACCCATCTCTCATTCTGTGTATATATGTTCTTTTTTTTCCCAGCATAATACCGTTATGTATAAAAATTATAAAGGCGATGAATTATCTACTTTATTCGATTGTATGGTTCATTTATTCGATAGTGTTGAACAAGATGTTTTAAATTTAATCACTCATTGTGAACAATTACAAGCTATATTGATTATGCCATTGTTAATTACAATTTCACGTATCACAGAAAATGAAATTACATTAACATTATCATCATCATCATCATTATCATCGCCTTCACAACAGACCACAACAACCAATTTGGATAATTCTAATTCTAGTAGTGGGATTGGCAATACTAGTCAACTACAATTAGAATCACAAGATTCTGATAAAATTCCAATGACATATATTGCAAATTTTTATCACGACTTACTATTGAAACAAAACGCGCTTTTAATCGTCTTGTTGTAAGTGATAATTCTCTGAAAAAAAATTTACTGACAATATTGTTGCCTGCTTTTTGTTGCTGTTGTCGATTCAATATTGATTAACTGAAAAAGTCATATAGAGATCCTATTTTTCCGATTCTGAACGTGCTTGTTGGTGATCCCTGATGAAAAATTTGAAATTAAAGCCGAAACAGCTGTCTAATTCTCATAATTTGTTCTTTTCCAAGTTGATATCAATCTATAACGATTGATTGTTTTCAGATTCAGGGAAATATCTTAAACCTTGACCTAAAAGTATAGAGTTGTCAATAAGAGCTCACTCAGATATTGACCCATATGTTTTAGGTTTGATCTCTACTTCACTTCAACCATAGTTTTTACTTTAACTCTGTGATCGAAACTACCTATCTCTCTGGTCACAGTTTGTTATTAGAACTGCGGGAATTACCTTTTCAAAGTAATCGCTAGTGTGCACATGATTATTACTATAAAGAAAGTTTGTGAGGACAGTTGAATTCTATGACTAAGATTACAAACCAATCTAAGTTGAACAACGAGTAAAAATCAGGATCGATTGAAAAGTTGTTCTATCCTAGTATGAGACTTTCCACCGGTACAAATTCACATCACCAGGGATCAGACCTTTTGTTCTCTAGAATTGGAGCTGTGATTCAGTCATTCAGGTAAAAGAAAACCTTGAGTGGATACATATTTAAACTATGTGTTACGATTCACTTGATATTATTTTACTTGAATCTTCGCATTGATATTTAGGACTGTGATTATCAGTCACTATCCATCTTTGCTTATAATGCTTGTAAATTAAGGCAATATCGAGGCATACGCACAGTATGCATATATGCCAATCAAAGACTGATCAATTTCAGTCCTAAAACATCAATGGGAAGATTCAAGTAAAACCATATCAAGTGAATTAAACTTCACCACATTGCACAAGCAAGTGACTATCAGGATTCAGTAGCTGAGTGGATAACGCAATTGCGTTTGAAGCGAACGGTACTGAGTTCGAGTCCCAGAGTGAACATCAACTCAGATGCAGATGCGTCCAACTGACGAGTCCCAAGCAGGACGAAACGCGCGTCCTGGATTCCACTGCTAGCCACTATCCATCTTTGCTTATTATGAGGTACGATGTTTTAGTGATTAGAGAACGTGACTTGCAATCATCGAATTTTAACCATACTCTGAACATTAGTTCAAACTGTCAGGTATTATTTATGTATGGTATAAATAGTAAGTAAACCTATTCATTTTATATACGTTATCATATCATTTGCATTTTTTAAAATTCTTCATCAGGAGCGTCTAATTATTTCATTTAAAACAAGCAAACCGTGTAAAAAAGTACGATGTGGTGTATTATCAATGGTTCGCACTTATATTGAATTCGCTGAATGTTCAATGACTGTATTTGCTAAGAGTTCACGTTTAGTTGATCTAGAACGTGCCCATAGAGAATTAGTACGATGTTTAATGACTGAAATTGATCGAGTTGCATCAAGAAGTGTGAAAACTCCCGGTGAAGTTGTCCAGTTAGGTAAATTCATCATTATTATTTATTTTGATATTTCTTTTTTAATTCTCCATTGAACATTCTTGGAATATGATTTCATTGATTCTTGTTTCCCAGAGATATTCTTAAATGGGTCCTGTTTAACGGTCAATTTACACATCATATCTCGACACAAAAACATGCAATCTGTTCTAACTGATAACACTATTTTGATTTGAAGGTACCAGGTATAACGTTAAAGATACTGACTGATTATTATTATTATTATCCAAGTGCTTGGAATTCACTAAAAACTCACCAAATCATGTAGTAGTGTAACCTATTGGTTATGTCTGCCATTATTTTTCAATTTAACCATTATCTGCTTTAATTTAGCTAATTGCATCAGTTTATATATCTTCAGCATTATTATTATTACTTGGTGGGTGCTCCTTATTGATTCATGAATTGTTATTGATATGACTTTATCCTTGAGACACCTTAATTGTAATTATTTATTCTGTAATCTGAATACTACTACTCCACTGAATTTAGTAGTATAGTTATTTCTTACAGTGAGATGTATAGGTCTAAACAAGTGATCTTTGCCAATCAGGATCTAATATTATTATATACTGAATAGATTTGAGTTCATATGTCTTAAGAACATACATTGGTTGACTCATATTTTCTTTAAAATAAAAAAAAGAAGCTTTCAATCAAGTTTCTTTGTTATTTATTACAATTTTCTTTTCTATCTTTATATTAGAAAATTATCATCGTCTTTGTGATATTCTTCGACGTTTAAAAATGTCCAGCTTAGATGATTATCGTCAAGATGCTAAGAATCGTTATACTTTAGCTTTACAAGAATATACAAAAACATGTATGGGTCGTCCATTGGAGAAATTAGCAGTAAGTTCATTTGATTTTCTTTTCTTTATTTATTATTGTTTATGAAGTGCATTATCCTCTCCTTTTACATATGAGATCAACCAAAGTAAATGGAATTCTTTAATAGCCACCATTTTGATTTCTTGAATCTCGCATGTACTATCGAGTCAAATACTATGAAACTAATACCCCTGAATAGCTGACTTTCATGGATATGGTAAGAATTCCGTTAATACCTATGTTTTGTCCTTATATCATCATTGGTTGGAGCAGGATTAGACTTTTGGCTTTCTTTGTATTCTTGATAGTGAGTGACGTATCTATGTACAATGTATTTTGATATACAGTACTGTTGATCCCTGAATTGACTTACTTCCAGTTGACACAATAAATATCTATTTCTTAATACTGTACAAAATTCTCTCGATATTACTCTGTGAACGTGCATTATTTAATTAATCATTAGTCAGGATTTAGCTATGATTACTCAGTACTTGAATGTGGAGCTAGGGAGGTATTTGTTAACAAGTCATTGAATTTCGATGATTTTGGAATGAAGGCCTACAGCCAGTTGCGACTTCCGTGTTGTGTATACTGTAAAAGAGGTTTTTCGGTGCAAACGGAAAAGGAAAATTGTATGAGGCAGAAACCTGGAGAACTACAAAAGCCATCATCCAGAAAATACAAGTGTTTATTAACAATTGTCTATACAAAATACTTCGGATTCTTTGGCCGGACAATGTTAGCAACAACGTACTGTGGGAGAGAACAAACCAGATCCCAGCGGAGGAAAAAATCATGGAGAAGCGCTGGAAGTGGATAGGACACACATTGCGGGGAGCACCCAACTGCGTCACAAGACAAGCCCTCACATGGAATCCTCAAGGCCATTGGGGGTGAAGGGGAAGACCAAAGAACACATTACGCCGGGAAATGGAGATAGACATGAGAAAAATGAACAAGAATCGGATGGAACTAGAAAAGAAGGCCCAGGACAGAGTGGGTTGGAGAATGCTGGTGTGCGGCCTATGCTCCATTAGGAGTAACAGGCGTAAGTAAATAAGTAAGAAAAGGAAAATAGATTTTTGTTCATGCATTTTTCGATCAACCATAGGATCCAAAAGATTGTTTGGCGAGGCTCTAATTTATGGACGAGATGATGTCAGTTCATGATGAAAACCCCATATATAAATCCCAATCGAGGCAAATTCTGACAATGATCATGAACTAGATCATAAAAGTACCAGTAACACTGGCTGCAGCTAGGTACTACAATATATACGGATGTTTGGAGAACGCACAGACTCCTACATGGGCTTGGTTATGTGCATCATGTCGTTATCCACAAGGATCATTTTGTGTACTCAGCAACCGAAGTGCACATAAACAATATTGAAACTATGTGGTCGAGGCTGAAAGAGTATTTGAGACTTTATCATGGCCCCGGATGCCGAGTATTCTGTAGCCGTATGGATGATTTCCTCTATTGCATGCATTAGGATTCTAGAACCTCTGAACCTCTTTCTAATCTTGAAAAGTTTTTGAACCACATATAAGAATTGTATCCACTTTATTTCCTTGATTTTGTATAATATATTTTTACTCTATACAGACTGTTTGCTGACTGGCTAATATCTCTCAAGGTCACTTAAGATTCGTTCAAAAGTCGTCCATAAATTAGACTTTTGCCGATTGTTTACTTATGACCAGTCACACACGACCGTTTTGTGGATACTTTTTTATTATGTTTGTTCTGTAAAGCTTTAAAGGTTATTATCAGAAATGTTAATTTATTGTACCATCTCTGCAAAGCTTGGATAGCCAAATATAATCAAACGTAGATAGTCGCCAAGAATCCCCACATCGAAGGGCTCAAGTTTTAAAAACTTAGAGTGAAACTGTTGCTAGCGTTATCGTTACAAACCAGACATCTTACAGCCACATTGACATCAGTTTGTCATTGTGTGTAGATTGATTTCATTCACCACCACCACAAGGACTAACACAACTATTCAGATACTCGAAGCTTTCAAATACAGGTCTTGATAGAGTACAATGCATTAAGAAGGTGTTGAGAGGAAGTATTCCAGTTAATATAATTCCATTCAGTCTTCATCATTGATAACTGCGATCGCCGTAGTATCAAGCTGGCAGCTACAGTCGTGGTATCGTGTATTTCTAAAACCGGAGCACCATCAGACTCAAGTAAACAATTACAAATTATAACAATCATTGATAAATTCAGTTTGATTTGAGTGTAAATGCCTTTTTTTGCGATCGATTTCATCTAAAGTCTGATATGCCAATAAGATCATAGTCCATGACCATTAGACTACACAAATTATTGGTGTAAAACACGTATTAATATTTTTGAACTTGTCATGTTGGAACGAAAAATTATCTTGTTTCATCATCATTCATGTGAGGTGGTCAAATATGTAGGCCACTTGTTCTTCTATACACGTAAAAATTGATATTTCTTGTTTGCTGAGTTAGATAGTCTAGTTGTGAAATTTTCGTTGTCTTTCTAAACAACGTTTTTAGCACACAGTTCAATAAGAAATAATTTATTAGGATTGTCAGCATCGATTTATGTGGAGACTATAGAATTTCTGTAGCTTTTAAACTATGAGGTGATATGAGACCATTTTGGAAACCTGAAAGCATCAAGTGTCGTTTCATCCTATCACATGGCTCGTCAGCAGTGTGCATTGACAACCCTTCATCCGCGTATCGAACTCCAAACTTTTATTCTCGTTCGACATGCAACTGTATTTTCAATACTCATCTAATTAAGATCATTTCGTGCTGTATACGAATTTTTTCAGCAGCTGATCAACTCCCTGTTCCGTTGACCCAATATTTGGTTTATTGTTGATTATAAGCATTTGTTTTCTCTATCCTATAATTCAACACTTTCCCAATCGAACTCATATCCGTAGTTGTCTACATTAGCTAATAAGATTTTGGTCATTTGTCGAGAGTTTGACAGTTTACTTCTCTTTCAAATACTTCTTGATCATGTTGTCTATGAAGAGAATATTAGAAACTTCACGACTTATTGATCCAGTACAAAGAACGCAACATCTCCAAAATCCTTTTACTGAGCCATAAATATTCTTTATTAGCATTATTTCTATCTGAGTATTACTTTATTTACTTATTATTCATTGGTGTTTTTATACATTATATTCCATTTTTTTCTATACATCATTTTAAAGAGCTTTTTTGAAAATGTTCAAAGTGCTTTGGATGCTGGTGTACGATCTGAAGTGGTTAGTTATCAATTTGCTTTTAGTAAACAAGAATTACGTAAAGTTATCAAAGAATATCCTGGAAAAGAGGTATGTAATAATGAGAAAAAAAATCCAGAAATAATTCGTTGAAAATATGAACAACGTTTGTGTGTGTTGTGTTTCTTTGATAGAAATTATTTTAATTTTTACATACGTATAATGTTTGCCCCGACGTGCAATGTTTTATGGTGTAGGAGTAGGTTGGAAGAAAGCTAGGGGCGGCCAGACCAAAACATGGCACAAATCCATAAAGTCACTGACAAGTAGACTGGACCATGTTGGCAGGTGTAGACTACCTGATTGGGATCTGTGAGACGATAGCAACTTATGGCTAAAGACCTTGAATGACACGGTTCATAATCGTTTACAATGACTCAGGTGTATCCACTCTTTGTGTTCACCCGAATTCTAATCTTCTGAATCCTCCTTGTCCCTTTCTTTTTCTCTTTCCAAATTTATTTCACTGGATTATACTCCTTGAATAACATCTTCAAACCTTAATCTTTCTGATTACTGCTTATACTCTTGCCGCCTCTACCACTATGGGATTTGAATTGACAATTGTATCTTTGTGCTAATGTGATATGGCAACTTGAACTGATGTATGTACGTACGAATTTCTACGTTGTTGACTGACTGACTGAATTATCAGTTAAGATTTCTATTGGACTATTAGCAAGTGCATAAACTTAGATGATCAGAGATGTTTACTAGAAATAGTCTGACATAATGAAGATCTGTTTGAAGTATGTGTGTTTTTAACCGAGCCCAATTATTTGTGAAGTTTTCATTGTCACTATAGATATCATCATCAGTTCAATGTTGATTGGGAACTTTTAGTATGAGAAAAACTTTCTCTTCTAATCGTTTTTTTCTCTCTCTCCCGTCTCTTTATTTGATATGATAACAGATTGATCATAATTTTCATTATATAATTATATAAGAGTATAAATTATTCACTTATAAAGGGGGTTTGCTATTCGCTTTTTTGTCAAGTTCATAAAATAAGTGTTAGTATCTAGAATTACCTACTTAAGATGGTTGTTTGGTTATAAGACTAGTCAGAGATGTTCTAACCGTGAATAGAGCCTCAGTATTCCAATTGGTTGAATTAGAACTCTAATCGGATGAGCTCAAGTGTGTTAACTTCCTATCAGGTGGAGTCAGCTCACTGTGTTTTTGAATTGTCAGAGCCTTGTGTCGAAATTTTTAAGTTACCTATTTTTCAACTGTGTGAATCTTGCACTAAACTTGCTTGTTCTAGATTTATTTGTAATAAGTAATTAATCATCATAACTATGTGTGCTCATACGACTAGAACTTCTTTCGATGTTAAACACTGGAAATCTTGAGTTGAAAACTACACTTTTTGACAAATATTTTGTCATTTGTTTACCGTTTAAAAGAATCGAGAGACGAATGCAATCGATTTCATGCCCCCAAATGCCCTGGTACAACCGAGGGTGGGGAGAGTCAGCTCTCCCTCTCAAAATGCTCTCACATGGACATGTGCATACAACCACTGCCAGGGAAGTCCTACTCACTGCCTTGTGGCGACGGTGTTGTTTACGAAAATGAGAGGACGAAAAGCGATTATCCGGCGCTTTAATCGGGTTGGTGAACACGGAGAATTTACCTAGGGGAGTTGGAATACACTGATTCCAAACCAATGATGCACATGGGCTCCAGTATCCTGAAGCAACAAATCTCATATGAACCAATCGTTGGTCACCGACTGCCATGGTCTGCATCTCCTGATGTTACTCTACTGCCTTATGGATCAGACCCTTAGGTTAAAGACTTCGGGTGTGGCCCCTAAGAAAACCACCCTTTTTTGGTTTGGGCATCCAGGAAATATCCAAGCCCTCACACATGAATCGAATGATTTATGTTGCATATCTGTTTAGTGCCTCCTTGTACCAATATTCTTGTGTTCAATTAAATAAGTAATAAATTCAGTCATATAATGAATCAAAAACAAAACAAACAAAATAGTTGTATCATTTGAACTGTTAGTAAACTTTAGCTGTTTTTATGAGATATTCATTACATTATTGCCTAATAAAATGGTAATAAATGTTGTGAATTCTTTTATTTTGATGAATAAACGTGTTATAATACTAATAAAATAAGATTTAGCACGTCATATCAGCACAGAATAGATCACATGTGAATAAGTTCGTTGATTAACTTTCATAATTTTAGATTCTCCGGTTCATATGTAAAAGTATCTGATTAATATGAATGATATTACTTCTTCATTGATTCATCATAAATAATATCATTTAAGAAGATAGAAATATGCTGTATTTTCTTAATACTATTAAATCATTATTTATTTGAACATATAAATATTGCTACATAGGGGCACCGAATACATATGCACCACACAAGTTACTTGATTTGTGTGTGTGTGTGCGCGCCCAAATCGAAGCAGGTGGTTTTCTTAGACATCCATAACTCGAGCCTTCGACCTAAAGGTCTGATGCACAAGGCAATAGAGCAACGTTAAGAGATACAGTTCCATGATAGCCAGTGACCAATAAGTGGTTCATATGCTATTTGTTCCTTCAGCATACTAGAGTCCATGTGCACAATTCGTTTGAAATGACAGTTTACCAACTCCTCTATATGGATCTTCCATGTCCACCAACTCGGTTATAGCGCTGTACATTCATTTCTCGTCCTCTCAATTTAGTAAACAACATCCTCATTACGATAAGTCAGTGGCTATATACGCGTTATCCATGTGAGGTCATTTTGAGAGGGAGAAATGACTCTCCCCACCCTCGATCATACCAGGCATTTATTGATAATTACATAAGTCCCAATTAATGTGAAATATCTAATTGAATAATATTACATGACCTTGTAAAAATAAAACATTGAAGTATGCTTTTCTTTCTCTCTCTCTTTATTTCAATTGTCCTCTTTTGATCGCATAAAATTTAAGGTAAAACATGGTCTGGAAAGTTTATGTAAAAAAGTTGAAAAACATTTATCTGACGAAGAAAATTTGTTCCCTGTAAGTATATATATGTCTGTATTTTCTATTTATAATTCCCATAGCCCATAATTTCTATCATCATATGTGATAGTTAAGGTGTATCCGTTTGTGTGTGTACGTGCGTAAAAGAGAGAAACAAAAGTTAACAAATTTACTAACTAGACCACCATGGAAAACCTGGAAGCACTGGACGGCCGTTTCGTCCTGGTATGGGACTCCCCAGCAGTGCGCATCCATGACCCCGCATCTCGCGGGCTTCGAACCCAGGACCTACTGGTTTCGCGCGCGAGCACTTAACCATTAGACCATTGAGCCGGCTGTCATCCAACAATCTTAATGTCTAACTTCAACCAATCCACGAAGTTGCGCCACCGTACACCATTCTCTTCAGTGAGTTCCTATCTCACAACAGACCTGGTTGAACTCCACTGGTAACGACTTCTCACTAGAACTCCAGAAGTGTCTCCTGAAGTCAGTCACTAGTGAGCAGGTGATTATTATTATCAGAATGAGTTTTTGTGGAGATTTTTAGAAATTTCACAAGTTGAAATCATGAGTCAATTGAAGCTAGACCACCATGGAAAACCTGGAAGCACTGGACGGCCGTTGGATACCGGCTCAGTGGTCTAATGGTTAAGTGCTTGCACGCGAAGCCAGTAGGTCCTGGGTTCGAATCCCGCGAAGTTCGGGGTCATGGATGCGCACTGCTGGGGAGTCCCATACTGGACGAAACGGCCGTCCAGTGCTTCCGGGTTTTCCATGGTGGTCTAGCTTCAATTGACTCATGATTTCAACTTGTGAAATTTCTAAAAATCTCCACAAAAACCCATTCTGATAAATTTACTAACACCAATCATAGTAATAATTATTATATCTAACTTGAAAAGACTATCCATTTCTTTCTATTATGCATTTGAAATGGTTTAAATGGTAATCAACAACAACTTAATGGTTGCTGTTATATAGATGGATGTATCGATGCAAATTATAAAATAGTTGTGTTACATCCAATATCTATTTTTATTCATCCTCTCTTCATTTTTCTTTATAATACAATTGTGTTAAATGCATTGTAAAAAACTAAACTGTTTGTTTTGATTGTTTGTTTCATAAACTGAAAATGACAAATAAATATTGTTAGTCAATGTAATCTCACGTTGCTTTCAATGATATTTATATGCTATTGTCTCTTTTCACTTTCTAAAATCATGGAAGGATGCTTTTTCATAAAATACCTGACAAAATTTATGGTCTTGTTGACCTAAGAATGTGACCGCTGCACCCAAGAGACAACTACTTCAGTTTGGTTATACTCTCTTGGTTGATGATATCCCAAAAACTGTGGAAACAGCAGTGATATGTGCTAGCACGGTAAACCACAAAGTTAGGGAGAAACACTGGATCTCAGCATCATCTACCGCACTGATAGATGCTCGGAAACGCATTTTATCTGGTTCTGAACATAACGAAAAGCGGAGTCAGCTTAAACGCAAGCTGACAAGAAGCCTACGCAATGATCGTGAACAGTGGTTGATAGCGAAAAGGCAGCGGCAATAGGTAATAGCAGACAATTGTTCAGACTTGTTAAGGAAACCGGTATTAGGAACCAGACTGTTAGCGAAACAATCTCAGAGAAAGATGGACATATTATACATTCTCAATCCAGGAGATTGGATCGATGGGCAGAACACTTTAGGGGTCAGTTCAACTGGCCTTCCGCCACACTTCGGTTTCCCACGATCTCTAGTCAACCTGAATGGCAAGTTAATGTAGGTCCTCCGTCCCTTTACGAAGTTGAAAAAGCCATAGGAAATCTGAAACGAGGGAGAGCAGCAGGCCCTGACAGGTTTACTCCTGAGATTTTTAAGGATGGTGGTCCAGTATTAGCAATGAGATTAACCGAGGTCTTAGGTAGAATTTGGGAACTGGACGTAATCCCATCTGACTGGTCTCAATCACTGATTGTGCCAGTCTATAAAACAGGACAAAAGTCCTCTTGTGACAATCACAGAGGAATCAGTTTAAATAATATAGTATCTAAAATATTAGCTTCAATAATTCTTCGACGCCTAACCAAAGCTCGTGAAGAACAAACGTCAATATCTTGCTTATTTAGTCTGATCCATATGATGACTGTATTTACTTGATTCGTTGGAAGTTTTGTCGTACAGAGTTCAATTAACTTCTCTTAAAGAGATTGATATTTTTCTATTATGTAATCACTTTTGAAACTTCAAACATATTTATATTCTTATTTTTGTTTTAATTATTAAATTTTAGGTTGTATGGAGATCAATACAAACAGAATTTATTACACAATGTTTACGTTTCAGTAATTTAATTCAACAATGTTATCCAGATTCAGGGATACAACTTGAATTCACTATAACAGATTTACAAAATTATTTTACTGAAATTGCATGTTCACGTTGAAACTGGAACTTTCTTTCTTTCTTCATTTCCCTCCCGTTTATAGTTTGTATATTGTATATTGTGATGTCTCAATCACCTTACTGTTTACACAAACACACATACATATACACAAAACTACTGATGGATTATTCAGTTTCTTTAGTGTACAATGAATGTTTTAAAAGAAAAGAATCAAGTAACATTCAACAGATGAAATTTACCTTGATCTTATATATGAAAATACGCACAATACACATTCAATTATACCGAAATTGTTATTTCCTAACTCTCAGTTTTTCTCTTTTTTCTCTTCATTTTAATTGTCTGCTTTCAGATGAATAATTCTATTTTAAATGATTTTGTTTTGTGATTTTCTCGTTTTCTTTTTTTTTTTTGTTTTGTTTTAATCTACTCTCCGTTCTGTGTAAAAAGATCAATAAATCTATAGCATCAGATGAATTTTGTGATTTCAATGGTTTTAAGATCATGGTTCTAATCTCGCAGGGGGCAAGGTCGTGGATGCGCACTGCTGAGGAAGTCCCACACTAGGACGAAACGGCCGTTCAGTGCTTCCAGGTTTTCTATGGTGGTCTAGCTTCAATTGACTCATAATCATAACCATTGAAATCTATAACAGTTTATGAAATTTGTTTTCGTTTTCTTATGTTCACTATTGAAGACTCCGCTCGGAGGCCCTTTGGGGCTACTGCCGTCCGAATCCCGGATGAAGGAGGAGGGTTGGGTTATGAGGTTAGCGACCTCATCCCGTAGAAAACTAACTCGCTAACTAGATAAAAGTAAGTTGAAGACGTGCATCTTGGACAAGGACAAACAGTGAATAGTGTTGGGTTTGTTGGTCATTTAGATGAGTAATACAAAGTCGTGTATAACTCACCTGTATCGGTTGTTTGCCACTCCAATTGACCAGTTAATTTTTTTTGGAATATGTGAATTCCATGTGTATTAACTCGATAATGTTCCAAAGCGGCCCGATTGAATATCAGGCCTATGTGTTCTTGCCATCTAGATATTTCGATAAGTTATCTGTTTTCTTGTTTGTTTTAACTCATCATTACGTCAATTAATTGGTATGACCTATTCAGATGCGTTTGTGAAAAGTTTACGACCAATCAGAGACATTGTGGTTGTTGGCAGTATGCATCGAAAAGAATAAACAGTAATCAGATGTCTATTTCTGAACTGCTAACATCTAACTGGCGACCACTCAATATTTTATCGCAGTGGTCGATCAAGAAATAAGAAAAGGAAACTTGTTAAAATACTTTGTGCTAAGAATTCTATATTGTACCAAAAATATAATATTGAATAAAGCTTATAATAATAAGTCACACGCATTATAAGCAGAGATGAATATTGGCTCCAAATGTAATGAAAGATGTGCGTTTCGTCTCATTTGGGACTCGTTATTTGGATATACCTGGATGCCAAAGTTGATGTTCATTCTGGAACTCGATTCTAATACCAATTTCTTCACACCCCGACGCGACATTTACTGATTCCAGATAACCACTGACTTATGCAATCAGGTGAATTTTAATTTACATGTAGTGGTTGTTTGAATCTTCCGATTGATGTTTAGGACGAAACACGCGTCCTATTTTTCACTGCTAGCCACCGTCCATCCCTATTCAAAAAGACACTGTTTTAAAAAGAATGATACTTTTCAATATCCAATGGCTTTCTTAGATTACGTTAGGCATTAGTGTTAAGGTTTTGGTCCCAGCTTTCATATCGTTAGCTTTATGCTACAAAAATATGTGATTCACTATCACCCACTGTCCGTTTTGATTTATGTATTGGGAATCATGTTTTTGCTACCTTCAATTTATGCTATCATGATATTAATTCATTAGTTTAGTGTATCATTTAGTCTATATTCCGAAGAATTGCGTCGTGAGTTTAATAAAACGTATGTTTTTATCGCTTATTTCATCATCTGATAAATTCCGCGTCCAAAAGATGTTACAGTGCCAGTTCGGGATTTTAGTACATTTCAATGTATAGGAAGGTGGCTAATAGAGACTTACTTGTCGTAGTTTGGATAAACGTGACCAACTTTGCAGATGTCACACACTATCAAAGCATCTATCTATATTGTGGTCATGGTTTGATGTTTACTAATCTCATCATTTTGTGTTTCTGAGGTTTTCTATTCTCTGCGGAGTAGTGATGTAAGCAAACTGGTTACATGTACCATTTTGGAAGGAAATATTAGTCCAACTTAATTCAAGGTTAGTTTTCAGTTAATTCCGAAACAGACAATGACACTAATATTTACGATTCTCCATGAAAATGATGAACAAAGTTATCTTTCGGTTCCATTGCTTGACTATTTCTAATCAAGTCTCAATTTGAGGACGTTTCATTTCTAATTGATGATTTTTCACTTGGTTTCTAAAATGTTATTTTTATGGTGATTGTTGGAAACTGTCTTTACGTTAATGAACTCAAAAGAAAAGTCTTTATCATTGATAAAATTAAGCTAAATACTAAATGGAATCGTAGGCAACTGCTTAATTTAAGTTTGTGATTCTTCAACAATGCTTTTTTACCACCATTACAAGTCAGGACCTTTAGAGTTCTCTGGTAGTACACTACCTTAAGGTTACTGACTACTCTACACCACCAAGGGATTTATGATGTAAAGCCGACTGATAGGTTTTCAATTAATCGATTGTAATTAAGGACAGCAAAAGATATCACAGCAGTTAATGGGTCAAATGAAAGCTTTACCACTTAGCTGATGTAAAAATGTTATGAATCGTATTTTCAGTAGTTACATATAGAAAGTGTTCTAACAGATTTTCCGGAAATCGGCTCTCCTTAGTTTTTCATTTTCAGTCCTTTCCTCATTTCTAGCAACCGCCCATCTGTGTTTGTTAATAATACATATATAATGAGGTGCAGTCGATAAAACTTTGTCAAGACTAATTCAGCTCGTAGTTAGATGGAATTATTTGATGAGAAGGATGTGTATCTCCGTTGTCCTCTGATGTATTAGAGCTAGGCTTTAGAATGATGCGTGAGATTTACAGAATTTTATAGTTTAATCTCGACAATAGTTAAGATCCTAAGTTACTAGAGTCGGTGAGTAACAACGTAGAAATTCGTACGTAAATACATCAGTTCGAGTTGCCACAGCACATTAGCACAGAGATGCAGTTGTCGATTCAGCTCCCATAGTGGTAGAGGTAGTAAAAGTATAAGCAGTAATCAGAAAGATTAAGGTTTGAAGATGTTATTCAAGGAGTGTATTCCAGTGAAATAAATTCGGAAAGAATAAAACAGACAAGGAAGAATTCAGGAAGATTAAGGATTTGATGAGAACATTAAGAGTGGATGCACCTGCACCATTGCAAACGATTTTGAGCCATATCATTCAAGGTCTCTTACCATAGGTTGCTATCGTTTCGCGATTCCAGCCACGTAGTCTACACCTGCCAACATGGCTCAGTTCACTTGTCAGTGAATTCACAGATTTGTACTATGTTTGGTTTGGCAGCCTCTAGCTTTCTTCCAACCTACTCCTACACCATAAAACATCGCACATCGGGGCAGTCGGTGGTTGGGTTGTGCATACGTAACACATGTCCCAGACATCTCAACTGACGAGGTTTCATTACTCTATCAATTGATTCGCCATCCTAACCTAGTACCTTATTTCCTAACAACTGCATTACTTACTTCGATGGTTCCCAGGATATACGAGCAATAGTTCGAAGACACCTATGATTCGAATACTAGTAAACCTACGAATATCCTTTACTCTAGCCAGCTATGTTTCACTGCCATAATTTAGGACGGAACGAACTGCTGCACAGTAAACCCGTCCTTTGTTTGGTAAACACGGATATCTCTTCTACGCCGTAAATGTTCGCAAGTTGGCAAGAGCTAGTCGAGTTACTAGAGTAACATACTAACAGTACTGGGTTCGAGTTCTGAAGTGAACATCAACTCCAAGCTGCTGTCAATTCCAATTGATATATCTCAGATTAGGCAAAATGTGCATCCTTAATTCCATTGCTAATCATTATCTACAAACTAAACAATTCAATATCTAATCTAAATTTAATTCTTAATAAAGTTTTGCATACAGATTGAATAAGAGTTTTGATATTCAAATACTGAATAATAATTAATATTGAATTAAAATGAATCCACAATGTCAACTATTTATTTCGTTTCTTTACTTTTTTTCTTTCTTTAATTGAATAATCTTCAAACACAATGACTTGACAACAACAACAAAAAATCGATTCACCCCACTATTAATTTATCACTTTTATTGATTAATTGATTTTTTTGTAAATAAACATGTTTTCTCTTTGAAAAAAAATATAAACATTCAGTGTTTCTATGCCGTTTTTTCTCCTTTTTCTTCTATAGTAGTTTTACTATTCAGAAAAAAAAAGTAAATACACTTCACTTATAATCAAAACAAACACGTACACATAGAAAATGATAATAATAGAATGAATACAATCAATGGGTTATATTACGATTATTGAATGGAGAGATAGAGAGGGGGCAAGGGAGAGACGGAAATAAATCAATATATTATAATGAATAAATTACTATTTACTCCCTTAATTATTATTCTTATTGCTAGATGTTTTGGTTGAGATAATATACAATATTGAATATATGTATATCTATATTGTTATTATTAATGGACAGGATAGGTAGAGACTAACAAAATGATTGAGATTCAATATATATATATATATATATATGTATGTACATAGTTACTATGAATGGTATGGTGCCAATTTTCCTTTTTAAGTTGGATAACTTTTGTTTTCTCTTTTTTTTCATGAAACGATTTGAATAGATTGTTTCTTTCTCCTTTTTTTCTTTTCTTTGTTGTTCTTGTTGTTGTTGTTGTTGTTGTTGTTGAATCATGTCGCCAAATTTTTAAATTAAGAAATAAAACGAAACTAAAATATTGAATAATATATAAAGGGATTAAGTATTTTGATAGAGTTTTGTTCTTTCTCTGA